ACCGATTTCAAAATTCGAATTTCTGGTAACCCTAGGGTTTGTTTTGGATTTCATCTTCTTCTTCTTCGAGAGAGATAACAATGGGACAACAATCGTTGATATACAGCTTCGTCGCTCGTGGTACGGTGATTCTCGTTGAGTATACTGAGTTTAAAGGGAATTTTACTTCCGTTGCTGCTCAGTGTCTCCAGAAGCTTCCTTCTTCTAATAACAAGTTTACTTACAATTGCGATGGTCACACCTTCAATTACCTTGTCGAAAATGGATTCAGTGCGTCTTCCTTCTCTTTTATGCCTGGATTTCGTGTAACAATAAGTTTCGGTTTCGCTCTTTTGTGTTCCTATTGTAATCGATTGCACTGGATCAGTTTGGATTAGATATTGTGTTCTCTCGGTTGGAATTATCTGGATCTCTGTTTTCTGGTGTTCTGATTCGGTTGAGCTTTTGTGTGTGGCTTGTTTGTGAATAAGGCTTCGTTGTTTGGTTTAGGGGAATCAAGTAGGTTGATAGGATACTTGGGAAAGTTTGATATACTTTTAGCATCAAGTGATGCTTGATCAATTGCATACGGTTTATGTAGTTAGATCTCGCTCCTGCCTTCTGTATTTAGGGAATTTCTGTCATGGATCTGAGAGAAGGATGTTTTGTGTTTATGGTTGTTGTGCAGCGTATTGTGTTGTTGCTGTTGAATCTGTTGGGAGGCAGATTCCAATGGCTTTATTGGAGCGAGTTAAAGAGGAATTCAACAAGAGATATGGTGGTGGAAAGGCTACCACTGCTCAAGCCAATAGCTTGAACAAAGAGTTTGGGTACAAACTGAAAAATTAAACAGAAACTCTCTCGTTTAGTCTATATGGATACGATGATTTTGAACTGATTTGGGTGTCTTGTAGGTCTAAACTGAAGGAGCAAATGCAGTACTGTGTGGATCATCCTGAGGAGATTAACAAACTCGCCAAGGTTAAGGCTCAAGTGACCGAGGTGAAAGGTGTTATGATGGAGAACATTGAGAAGGTCAGAATCATATATCCATGCCCATCTAACAATTCTGCATTTTGAGCAAATTTGGTCATATCTGGCTTGAATTTTCTCTGCCCCTAATGTGTAAATGACCCGCTTCTGCGAAACTTACTGAGCTTATTTGCAGGTCCTTGACCGTGGTGAGAAAATTGAGCTTCTAGTGGACAAAACTGAGAACCTTCGTTCACAGGTTAGTACATATCTTTCACTCAATACGTCTCTGAAACTTTTGATAGACTTCTTTTCCAGCAATTTAACTCATCCCAAAACGAATCAAGGAAAAACTTGTGTATACATACATACCGATACCTTTATGGGATAAAAACGGCTTTGTAGTTCTCCCGCTTACAAATTTCCAATTCAAATAATCTACAGGCACAAGATTTCAGAACACAAGGAACGAAAATAAGAAGAAAGATGTGGTTTGAGAACATGAAGATTAAGCTCATAGTCCTCGGTATCGTCATTGCCTTGATTCTCATCATCATCCTCTCGGTTTGTCATGGCTTCAAGTGTACCTAAAACTTGAAACAATAACAAGAATACGTTTAGAGATTATCAGCCCCATTATTGCTCTACTAAGCTGATCGGAACTCCTCTTGGTATATGCCTTACTTTTTCTCTGTTTTTGCGGTCTCTCTTTTATATTTTTTTCATTGATTTTGTTAGGGAAAAGGAAATATGATTACTTAGTGCTGAGAAATGATCCTTTTGGGTATGAATGTTTGGAGAGAGATTTTAGTTGTTGGGGTTTTGCTTATATACAGAGTAGGTCTTTGTACTGTTGGTGGCGATATGGTTTTTTTTTTGTAATCTAAATTCTAGTATTGAGTTTCTGCTGTTTCCTTCAATCTCCAAATTTATTTAAATAAATAGTACAAAGCATCAGATATTGATACAACAAACCAAAGGAGTTGTTTGAACACAAGATTAGCAAAACCAAAAGAGATCTTTTAACGGTTTCTGCGTTTAGTCGGACCAGTTATCTTAAACAGCCACTCCGGCTTGTACGAAGCAATGACTTGTGCTATTGCCAATCCAAGCAACACCCCAGGTCCATACCCTATTGCCACTCCTTTCCAGTTCAACA